AGGAAGCTAACTTCGGCACGCCGAAGTTTATATACCCTTGCAGATAGAACTTCTATGAATAGGAATCCATACAATATAAATTATACATATTTGTGTTAAAAAACAATGAAGTAATACCTGCTTTCATTTCATTCACCTATACATATTATATTTGCAGTTTTACATTCACTGATTTGCATTTTTCCTCCACATCAAACGATCGTTTGTATGGCACCTATATGATATAGTCGTCCGATTTTCATGAAATTTGACACAAAATTTAAGACTTATATAAAATGGCTATACCTCAAATTTGATGAAAATCAGCTGAAAACTAAAAGAGTTATAAATTTAATTGTATTAATTTCTCGATCGTTCCTATGGGAGCTATATGATATAGTAGTCCGATTTTTATAAAATTTCGTACAACATTGAAGAGTATAGTAAAATGGCTATATCTCAAATTTCAATTCTATTGAAAACTGAAAAAGTTAAAATTTTTTTGTAAAAATTTTCCGGTCATTCCTATGGCAGCTATATGATATAGTCGTCCGATCCGGCCCGTTCCGACATATATACGAGTGAAAGTATATACAAGGCTAACCACAAAGTTTCATTCAGATAGCTTCAAAACTGAGAGACTAGTTTGCGTAGAAACGGACAGACGGACAGACGGACGGACGGACAGACGGACAGACGGACAGACGGACAGACGGACATGGCTAGATCGACTCGGCTGTTGATCCTGATCAAGAATATATATACTTTATATAGTCGGAGGTGCCTCCTTCACTGCGTTGCAAACTTCTGACTGAAATTATAATACCCTGCAAGGGTATAAAAAAAGAAATAAAGCTAACTTCGGCACACTAAAGTTTTTATACCCTTGAAAATTGCAAATCGATCAAGAATAAGTAATACAAAATAAATTCAAATTATTAAATTAAATTTTAAATAAATTATAAACATTTATAAAAAATAAAACACCAAGAACATCTTAATGATATAAAAGAACAATTTTCATGACTAATTTTTAGAAGAGAAATATGTTAAAATAATGTATTCATTTACCTAAAGTTCCTATGACAGTTAAATATTATAAAATTAAAATCGGAATTCTGAAGCTATATAAAAAGGATATATCTCATTATGTTGCAACTGGCAAAGTTCCATATTTTATAAGATATAGTCTTTTGATCCGGCGTTTCGACTTTATACTAGTTAGACTAAATAAAAGAGTAACTGCAAATGTTTTTTATGTTAGATTTTTTCAAAACAAAAAAACTAGTATGCGAGTTAATAGCTAGCTAGCTAGTACGAACGGACAGAGAAATATACGGATGAACAGATGGACGGACAAAGCTAAATCGACTCGGTTGTTAATGCCAATCAAGAATATATAGGGTCGGAAGTGGCTCCGTTGGAGACTGCCTTGCAAAATTATAATACCCTTCAAGAGTATAAAAAGAATTTAAATAAATTTAAACCGGTCCCACACATGTTTATTTACCAAAATTTATAAAAATATCCTATTTTATTTTATAATATAACCAGGGTTTCAGATTATAAACGCATTTGAATGTTTAATAATATATATATAATATAACATTACATAATATTTTTTCTAACAATTTTCCGATCGTTCCTATGGCATTTATATGATATAGGCGTCCGATCCGGACCGTTTCGACGTATATACGAGTGAGAGTTTATAGTAGACTAACTGGAAATTTTCATTCAGATAGCTTTAGAACTAAAAAAAACATACTGACATGGCTAGAACGACTCGGCTGTTCATACTAATCAAGATGAATCCTTCTGACTGAATATAATATAATACCCTGTATATTCTCATGGGTCAACCCATCTAAGTGCGGAAAACGTAGAGAGAAATGGAAATCACGAAAAGATAACAAACCAAAGAGAAAGAATAAAATTTTCTTATTCAGTTTTTTTGTAACAAGCGGTCGATTAACTTAAACACCAAAACAAATTACATGTTATCAAATCCACTGGCAGTGAAACAGTGTTTATAAACACTATATATATCCTATATATCCCCTTTAGTACCAAAATTCCTTTCCTGTCCGATTCCTGGTGTCATGTTCTAAAAACAAAAACAAATCTCATGGGTTTCGGTAAGAGAACTCCGAAACAAAGTAGGCAATGAAAGTTCTACCTGTGTTCGGATACTGCCAAACAATTAATTGTTGTCGGAGCAGTGGTTCCGAAATTTGATTGAGATGATGCAAAATATTATTTAAGGAAAAAAATTCAATCGATGGTCTCGTTAGTGAAACCGATTTTTTCACAGCTCAAATGACAGCTGAAGTATTCACAAGTGTTTTGTATTGTAATTTATTAAATATTTTTAGAGGGTAAGTGACTTATTTGTATTCAGTTAATAAATTAATTTCCAGAATTGCTTTTGAACCTGGACTGTTTTTTAACCTAGACGGTGTGAACGGAAGGAGATAATATATCCAGTATTTGTTTTTTTCTTAATTCATGTGTATATTTGTGAAAAATATTGTCCATTTGATTCTAATATCCATATGTACATATATACATAATTTTAATTATAGATTGACGAGGCAAGAGCCGGAAGGAAAGACACGTAACATACTTTTAGGGGAAATGCAAGAAGTTATGCTAAGAAAAATTGTGGTAATCAAATTAAAAAGTTTTTTAAATGAAGAAATAAATAAAAAAAATGTATTATAAATTGCGTCAGATATTTACTATGGGGCGGGGGGTTCCGGGGATCTTCTACACGTTTTCCTCTGGGATTCCTATCTGATTCTACTCTAAATTTCACTACCATTCTTTGGTGATTCCGCCTGGTACTCCTTTGAGAGTCCTACCTGATTCTACTCTGAAATCCCCATGATTACTGCCTGATTCCGTCTCAAATTCCTGGATGATTCTGGTCAGAATCCCTTCCGAAATTCCCTTCTGATTCAGGGGGGAATTCGTGTCGAAATTCAGGACAAATTCCTAGCAGGATTCCTTAATGATTTCCGGAAAATTCCCTGAGTAGTCCGAATTCAGGTTTGCTAACGCCTACTGTATGGAAATTCCTGGATGGCTTGTATGAAAGCTCCCTAATGATTCAGGATGGAGGCCTCTCCAATCCAACCTGATTCAGACCTGAATCCTAAAGGAATGGTACTGAAGGGTATCAACTGACAAAATGACCTAGGTGTTCTGGTTTAAGCGGCCTATCCACGGTAGAACATGTTTGCCGAGCATGTTGAGATCGACGCAATTTTCATCGTTAGTGGTAGTGCACGCGTACAAATTTCTTGTTGGTCGAGCCGCTCGAACGAAATAGAAATCATTCTATCTTGCTTGTGTTTGCAACAACATGCTCGACAATGGATTGCAACGTTGGCATGAACATCAATTGCCAAAAGTGCAGTTAAAGTGGTGCTGTCGTTGTCCGTTGCCATGTTCACTTCCCAAAGATTTGCCAGCAAATGATGTTTGCAAGCATGTTGCCACTAGTTGGTGGCAAATGAAATTTTTGCTCGACGAGCGGCTCGGCCAACATGTTCTACTGTGGATGGGCCGCTTTAAGCTCTACATATTTATATATATTTAGTATATATATTTATATATATTTAATATATATATTTAATGTCAAGTTAATTTTTTCAAATACCGTTTATTTATATTTATGAATGATAGAAGAAACAATTTGTTTGGGGATTGCATTACAAGTGCACAAGATATTGCTGCATTTACGGGTTGGAAACACAGTGCTGAATACTCTACATCTTCCTCTTGTTCCCCATTTCAGCCAATGATTATTACAATCAAGTCGTAATTATTTTTCTGGGTCTACCACATAAGCAACATTTTTGGAACAGAGCATTTTAATTCTATGCCCTTTATTTGCATGGCATTTAAATTCGTTTCTTCACATATTTTCTGCCACAGGTTTTCTTCAAAGAAAGTGCAAAAAAATATTCGATGGAGTTTTCACCGTATCGGTGCCTATCTAGTTTCATAAGGTGTGGCATGCAGGGATACTGTGCAAAATCAACCCGTTGATTAACCTACAACTATTCGAAATGGTTAGGAGCTTCCTCTCTGACAGGACATTCACGGTGGTACTGGATTAAACCCTATCTTCCCAAAAGCTAATTAAGGCTGGAGTACGCCAAAGAAGCGTGCTGGAACCGACGTTGTGCAGCTTGTTTACCCACGTTTTGCCTTAGTCATTGGGACAGGAGCAGTAACCAATGCTGGGCGCATTTGCTGAAGATACTGCGTTCCTTTCTAGATTTAACTGTATCTATGACGATACTGATATGCTTCAGCCGTATTGGGCCTGTCGCTGGAATATATCTATTAACCCGGTAAGGTGTGCTGTAGTGACGCACTCCCTTAGAAAGGAGTCATGCCCTGGATAGTTACTAAATGGAGAGCTTCTTGAGGAACTAATCGGAGTCGCATCCGGGTCTTCCGAAATAAGATCCTGAGGAAAATGACTGGTGCTGAGTGGTTTATCCGTAAAAATGATCTAGCGAGGGACCTGAAAGCTCCTCTGATTAGGGATACTATCAATAAAGAAGCCACAGACTTAAATCTCGACGGGCTCGGCAAAGACAAGCGATTTCCAATCACAGACTTTCCAAGGAGGAAGATTTATTAAACACTGTTTAAACATTCGACTTATAATTATACATTTGCAGTGACTTCACCACTTCATCACTTTCTGGGTGTGGAAATTATTCGCGACATTCCAAGCGAGCTACGTAAATGAAAGCCAATAATTGGGCCAATGCGCATTGCGACCCTTAGAGTCGGTGATTTCTGAAGTAGGCACACAGAAGCAGAGTACGTGGCGTTTTTGCAAGTCGTCATGAACACTTTACCTCTAAGTCTTCTTAAAGAAATTAGGTCCATCAGATCCCATCATCCTATGTAACTAAGACTATATTGTAAGTCATTTTCGTTTTAGAATAATTTTTCTCTTAACTTAACATTTATAAAGCCAAAAACATTCTACTTACTTGTATGTTTAGTTCCAAATTTTTCCACTGACAAAATCTAGTAAATTTATCGCTGAAAGAAAGATGAGTTCGTTATATAAAATAAAATAAAGAAAATTTATTGTCTATACATACATATATATAAAGAGGAAAGGTTTGATTTTTTGTTTGTTTGTTTGTATGAATTGAATAGGCTCCGAAACTACTTGGCAGATTTGAAAAACAACAGTGAAACAAGTTGGAAAGCTACATCATTCCTGAGTGACATAGGCTATATTTCATTTAAAAAAAAATAGGCATCCTTACTAAAATTACGATAACGTAATCCAAGGTGTTAAAAAAATATCAAAAAACAACCTTACATCGACCGCCCTCTACAGGCAGCCAGCTGAATCAAAGCATTTCCTGTCAAACATTCAAAACATATTGAAATAAGGAATTGGAGATAAAAATTTTATTTTTTTGTTCAGGTTCAGTAAAAAACGAAGTCATGCCACCCAAGAAGTCGAGTTTGGGTCGTCGTACTCGCAATACAGAAGCAAAAAGACGTAAGATTACGAATATGACTGACGAAGAACGGGCCTCCATCCGAGAGAATGAGCGGCTGAAAGCAATGCAGATGCACAACGAAGAATCAGCAGAAAGACGAGCAGATAGGCTTGAGAGAAAACGATTGAGAGTTAGGCAGTCGCGTTCTGCAGCAATCGATTTGATTCACTCTCAAAATAATGAACGCGAAAGGGCAAGGGTAGCTGAAGCGCGTTTACAGCTTGCAGAAGATCAAAACCTGCAATACAATCGTCTTGCATTCAGATATAATCCAACTATTGATTACAGCTCGAATCGAATGTCGTTATTGGCCGGATGCATCAGGTCTGCATATACTGTCAGGCCTCTTCGATTGAATCAGACGAAACTTCGGTCCCATGAATATATACATTTGCGGGATGCTGTGATGAATGACCGTAATACAACCAACGTTGGAAAGCTCACGATTTTGCCATCCTCATACATAGGTAGTCCACGCGACATGCATGAATATGCTCAAAATGCCATGGCATATGTTCGTTGCTACGGCCGTCCAGACTTATTTATCACCTTCACATGCAATCCAGCTTGGGACGAGATAGCACAGCTGTTATTTCCTGGACAATCGTATAGAGATAGGCATGACATCACAGCCCGTGTTTTCAGACAACAGCTCAAGTCACTGATGGATTTTATTGTGAAACATGGAGTTTTTGGATCTGTGCGGTGCTGGATGTATTCAGTAGAATGGCAGAAGAGGGGATTGCCGCATGCGCACATACTGATTTGGCTGTATGATAAAATTACTCCAGATGAAATCGACGATGTTATATGCGCTAAGATTCCATGGGCCGAGGTTGATACGGATTTGCATGAAGTTGTCATCAAGAACATGATCCATGGCCCATGTGGTACCCTCAACCCATGTTCACCATGCATGGTAGACGGGAAGTGTTTCAAGCGATATCCTCGAGCATTTACAGCCAACACCGTAACAGGGGACGATGGATATCCTCTGTATAGGAGACGGTCAACTGAAGATGGAGGGACTTCGGCAAATTTAAACATGAGAATTGGTGATATTGAGGTAGACAATCGTTGGGTGGTTCCATACTCACCACTATTGTCAAAATCATACAAAGCGCACATCAACGTAGAATATTGCAATTCCGTAAAATCGATTAAATGTAACTGCAAGTACGTGAATAAAGGCAGCGATATGGCAGTTTTTGGTGTTCAGGCAGAAAATGATGACAACAATGCAGTACGAGTTGTCGATGAAATATCTCAATACCAGGCTGGAAGATACATAAGCAGCAACGAGGCTGCATGGAGAATTTTTTCGTTCCCCATTCATGAACGCTATCCAGCTTTAGTTCACTTGGCAGTCCATTTGGAGAATGGTCAACGTGTCTATTTCAGAGAAAGAAATGTGCAAGAAAGAGTCCTGAATCCGCCAGCGACAACTCTGACTGCCTTCTTCACCATATGCCAGGAAGATGATTTTGCCAGAACCTTGATGTATTCAGAAGTGCCCTCTTAACCATAATATGCCACAGAGAAACGTGGCAGGGTACAGCTAGTATAATATAACCATACAAGTTTTTACTTTTTTAGTCATACTGCGTTAACTCTCTTAAAGAAATAAACGTGTACTCTTTCCGTACGACGTTTAGCTATAACAACGGTGCTAACAAAAAAACCGCAGTTTGTATACCTGAGCACTTTGGAAATTGATCAGTGAGTATAGATCCATTTCGGTTAAAAAAAAAAACAAACAGGAGAGATTTAAAATATTTATATGTAACAGCACCGAACTTTTACAGAATTTCCTAGTCTCTTATAAAAATTGACCAAACATTCCCATGGCAGCTACATAATAATAATCTTGGATTTTGAAAATAAAAATTAAAACATTATTTTTAAATCATATTTCTATATGTTTTTCGAGTGTTCCAATTCAGATATAAATTTCCCATATTAATAAAACGAAAAACATAATTTCAAAATCATAAATGTTGAAAAAAAAGAGTGTTACGATAACTTCCATGATCTCATGAGAAGAGCGCGAAAGTCTTTTAACATAAGCTAGCATATAAATAAGCAGTATAGAAAGAGGGACTCCTGGCAGAGCTACTGCGAGTCACTAGAAGTCATAAAGGACACAGCGAGATTAAGCCAGATTCTCGCCAAGGGCACATGAGCCTCACCCTTGTCAACGGAGCAGACGGCACTGCTACAGCGACAGTAGAGGAGTCACTAGAGCTACTAGTTGACAATCACTTCCCAGGGAACCTACGAGAGAATTCAGAACCCGAAGAGGAAAGAACAATCAGACAGACACCAACGAAAGACACCATGACCACGGAGCAAATCCAGTGGGGTATACCTCCTTTTGACAAATAAAAATCATGGGGCCGAACGGCATAATACCGGGAATGCTACAATCAGCCAAGAAAAGCATCTACTAAGCCATTTACTAAGCCTCCCCTCTTCTGGGGAGGGAACTGAAAGTCATTTTCGTACTGAAAGCAGCCAGAAGGGGCATAAGCCTTACCCCCTTCGCCTAAAAAGACTCCTTCCTGTTTACATCTTGGAGAGACTAGAGGGACACCGACTATCGGATGCGCATACCGAAAAGGCAAGTCGACAGAAACAGAACTACACGAAGTTTTAGATCATATCGAGAGGATACTTAAATACAAGCAATACATGATGTCTTTCTAGACATCAAGTGAGTTTAACAACGTGAACGCCGATTCCATCCTAAGCTCCTTCAATTTGTTAGATATAAAGGGAGGCATCAGAGAGTGGATCGGGGTTATGCTAAAGAGCAGGACGATGACAGCCGAACTGAGTGCCACTCATCGCACGCGGACAGGAAGAGTTTTATCGCCCCTACTCTGGCTTATAAACATGATCAGCATATTGGAAGAACTCAGTATGGATGGTGTCAAGGCAGTGGCAGTCGCAGATGTCGTGGTACTTTTAGTATCAGGACCTTATCCTTACGTTATCATAGGTATAAGGATAGGAGCGCTAGATCTTTTAAAGAAATTGGCAAAAATGCTTTTCACCAAAAGGATTAAGATAGCAACTTTTAAGCTTGCCCAGCGTAAGTTTTTGGAGAGATCACGGCGCAGGGCACGGTAAGATATTTCTTCTTCTTAGATACTTTTTTTAATTTAAAAATTTTTTAAATTAAAAAATAAATGTTTTCATTTTTAATTTTTCTTTTTATTTTATTATAACAAAATTAGAAAATCAAATTTGATGTTAAAAAAAACTATTACATTTCTTTGCTGCGAATTTCGGGGATGCTTTCCAAAAGCTGAGTCACCTCATCATCCAAAGCAACATACTTTTTTCAGAACGCGGAACTACATTTTGACATCGATGATATTAGCGGGTCTGATGTCAGTAAAAGTGAATGCATAAGGTCCATCGTATTTATTCTGGATGTTTTTCGAGTGTGATTCAAGCGATAGTTGCGCATATCTTTATTTTGCGCTCAAGCGCTTCCTCGGACATCATGCCGATTCGAAGGGTAACATTCTTTATTATGTCTGCTCCATGAATCAAAATTTTGTGAATGGATGAAGGCATATAAAACCAAGGGTATTCCTTCACAAATATAGAAGCTGCATCCCATGTGTAATGGCGAAAAGCTTTAACATTAACATTGTACTCACATGACATAATGCGTAAAATAACGCTAAATCTTTTAATAAGGTCAATTCTTACCCCTGTAATTGTAGCCGTCAAATCTAGATCTTTGAATAGTGTTCTTGCTGTATTTCCATTATTCGTGTTCCCCGAACCAAACATGGGAATATCGACTAAAATACCCATTTGTTTTCGGAGAGCAGTTTGTATTTCTGCCATTCTTTGCGCAACTATTTCATTATCTTCTCCGCGAACCTGCCACTTTTTAATTGTAAGTCGATACGATATATGGATGATGCACACGAAACATCTGATCTATGCATGGGGAGTTGATAGCCCATACTTGGTTAAAATTTGTTTTAAATTGTTAAATGTGGAGGGAGTGGCACCAAAAATTCCACAGACCTGCATAGAAGCATCCGCAATCGAGTTTAAGATCTTCCCATTAATCATTGTTAAGTGAAATTCATGAACTATTTTAAAATGTTGAAACGTTGAAGGAAGACTTTGTTCTATATTTTTAACTTATTTACGAAAGTCAGCAGTTTCTTTTTCAAAGCTTATTTTTATTGGCCTGCAAAATCTAGTTGAAGAAGGACGAACATTTTGCCAAATTACTGCATTATTTATGTCCAGTATTTGCCGTGGAACCATACAAATTGAAAATATGCTTTTATAAATCATTCAAATTTCAGGATCACTAAAGCGCTGGCGGTTTGTCGAAAGGCCACTACTCCCATCGTAGCCCCAATTATACATGGCTTTTAATGGACCACTGATTTTGGAATCTTCTATTCCTTTAAAAGCTGATATCCTTCAATTATACGAGCAAGAGTGTGGTCAACCAAAGACTGCAAACTGACTTCCGCTGAAGTTTCCGAAATGTGTATGTCCTCAGAATAAGTCGCCTTTTTAGCCTTTAGCACAACATCATAACAAGGAAACATTTTTGACCCATGATTTTTCAAAAAATGTTTAACTAGCTGGTACGAATTTTGGTAAATTCTCCATCTACCATAACGGCTAAGGCTTCTTCAGGGCTAATATTTCTGGCATTTTCAACTTCTGCGCTCTTAGTAATTTTTTTGAGATTTTCTGAGTCTATGGTCAATAACATCTGAGATGCATTTCTTTTGTTAGAATTATACAAACTCACGCGAGCAGCCACGCCCAATTCTTCGCATGGGGTTTCCTTAACAATGCAATCAGAGAAAGCTTTTACTGGGCGCCCAGAGCTACATGAGGCTATTTCAGTTAGCACAACAGACTCATTTAACCAATTTTCATTTTGATTTTGAAAATATATGTGGTTTCTACGGCATTTTTTCCATTTATCCGTAATTTTGCTAGAAAATTTGGCTAATTTTTCATTTATTTGCTTGTATTCTTCATCGCTAGTATTGTTCTTATCAATAAGGAATGAAAAGACATGGCTTTGAATTGCCTCAAGTTTCTTTTCAAGCACAGTTTCCTTGTGCTTTATTGCAAAGGGCGTGCTTCTTAAAACTGACATTGTACCTATAAAATATATTTAGTTATAGGGTAGCAGCTGGTAGCACCTCAAGCTAATTCTATAAACACAGAAAGATTGGTGGCAGGAGATCGTAGGGGTCACAAGTTCTATTCCACGAAAGTCTGAGGTATGTAAGTAATGCTATTGTAAATGAAATGTTAACTTCTACATCGATTTACCACGAATACAAACAAACACAGGACACAAACATGTTTATTTTATTAAATAAATACCAACACTTATTTCAGAAAAAATCGCAAAACTTGAACTTTTACAGAGCAGAAGCAAACGCCTAAAAAGTGCGGGAAAATATATTTAGGTGTAGACAGAAAAATTTAGTGAGCTTCACTCACGACTGAGTTGAGTCGATTAGAAAAATATAGTAGCATCAAAATAAATATTGACGGGATTTTATTTTTCAAAATTAATAAAAATATGAATTAAATTTTAACCTTTAATTTATTTATTGCCTGCCAGATTGGCTCAATCGACCACTGTGCGCAGCCAGCTTTTCACACACGACACTGGGCGATTGGATTGCACGCAATGGAACTGGCACTGCCACATAAAAGCTGCAGCAAACTACGGAGCTGGCCTTCTGCCCAGCGCTTAATCACATCAGAATACGTCACTTCGGTGTCTACCAGCCTGAGTCACTGGAAAGTATAGGCTTTTTAGACTTTCTTGCTAACTCATGGTACTGAGCGTTAATTAGATGCTCTAGGATGGGATGAAAGAAGGAATTACTTTGTTGTTTAAAAAAAAAATATATATAAATATATATATATATAAATATATATATATATATATATATATATATATATATATATATATATATATATATATATATATATATATATATATATATATATATAAATTGTAAATATAAATATATATATATATATATATATATATATATATATATATATATATATATATATATATATATATATACATATTTATATTTCATAAATTATTAATGATCGAACTGTAATATGCTAGGTTATAAAAACTTCGGCATGCCAAAATTAGCTTGTTATTCCTTTTTTCATATTTTTCGTATAAAGTTGTCCCAAACATCAATACTAACCACAAATACAATAAATGGATGAGTGAGTAATTTTGTCGGCTTAGAATGAATATGCCTTAAGTTTTATTATTCTGAATGAGATATATGGTACACTGAATTATTTTATTTTAAAACGTTAAACCGGGGCAAGAAAACGTTCGAGGGTCCACATGTAAATAGTGACATATTCACAAATTCCAAGAAATATGAATCTGCAACGTAGGCGATCCCACGCTGAACCAATGTAAACAATCCACATCCGAAGCAGGCAATGCGGCTTCTCAATAACATAAATAATTCTTTAAATGACTAAGTCCCGCTCTCTAAGTGGCACTCTCACTCTTAAATTATTATGTACAATCAATATTCCAAGCGGGCGATCTCGCTCCCCAACTTATGTAAACAAAGGGCAGTAGAAGTAAGATTTTTGTCACAATAATTCAGTCTTGAGCTGAGATCATTTGAATAAAGACGTGAACCTAAATATTCGTTTTATTAATTCAACTTGGCGTTGTCCTTAGTCAACTGACGGGACATTAGTTCGACTGAAAAAAATATCAACACTTCACTATATACATACATATATGTAACATAACCTTATAAATAGGTATAACAAATTACTTACCTATCTAAGAACTTTTTAAATGGTTTGCCTTTAAGCTGTGTAAATATTTCCTCCATGTATGGCTATAATAATGATAATAAGAATTAATTAAACAAATGTTATCATATTGACAAATGAAATGGTACTAATCCTGTTAAAAAATATGCATATTAAAAATATTTCACAGTTTGCGATTCGTTGCAGCTAGTAAGCTGTTGTTCAAATAGTTTGAAATACACAAATATATAAATAACCCAAATATAAAAAATTAGTCTCAATATATCGAGGTTCATGGTCTAAGGGAATATAACCGTTTTTAAATCACAAAGGTCATTTCGGTTTTCAAACGACATTTTATCGCGCCATTAATTGAAGATGCGACGGAAATGATACGAAAATAATCTTCCTGAAGCGCGGTGGAAGAAAACGACAATAAAGTACTTTTGGTAGTTCCGTGTGAATGAATGGGGTCAAAATTCTGAACTGCATAGATGACCCGACGAGAAAGTGGCTAACGTAAACTGTCTGCTAGCTGAAAGCACTGTGTGAGAGGACCATTACAAAGACGAAGGTATTCTTTTCTATCCTTATACCGAAGCTGATGCAGCGTCAGCATCCAGACATCCCAACCGCAAACTGGAAGATATTGCACCTTGCAACCCTAATAACGAAATAGGGAGGCCAAGGAGGAGTCCCCCAGATAAACAAGGAGGCTGAAAACATCCTTTACCTGGGGAGATGGGTAATGTATACCTCCGCCTCAAAAGGCGTCACCCCTGGGACACGGATGCGCTCACCATGCAGGCAGACGAGGTGAAGAAGGACCTAGGTCTGCACACCATCATAGACGCCGTCCTCGTACTGACGCTAAGCTAGTCCGATGAAGGGGAGGACGGTGACCTGGCGATGATAATCAACCGCCGAGTGGAGTTGAGCTTGGTACCCTTGAACTTGCTATAGCTCATTGCCATGAAACAAGGGTCAACCTATATAGCTTTGATCGAAGAACCATAGATTACCTCAGGACTAAAGTCCTCAAAATGCAACCATTTCTATGCACCATTTGCAAGCATGAACAGAACCGCCGTACTCCTACGGGAGGGATTTCATGCTAACCTTAAGTTTGATTAAGGGGGTAGACCACCCTCACATTTTTTAATAATCTAATTTTTTTTTTAATCAATCTTGATGCCGATATTCTTACGGTCATTTTAAGACATCGGGCTTAAAAATATCTCGTTACTTGTGGATTCAACAGCCATTAGAAGTGAGCGCTGCCGGTATACCATAGAGTACTTTCTTTATCTTCTTTTTCGTTTTTCTCAAAACAACGTTTTTTAAAACGGTGTACATGATTTCTCAAAAACCCGCCAGACCGATTCTCTTCAAATTTTTTACACAGCTTCTCTATAATGCCCTCTATGGCATGACGTAGGATTTTTTCGATATGTTTTTTTGTTTTAAAGTTATAAATTTTTAAATAAAAAATTTTGTTAAAAAAAAATTTTTTTTTTCAAAGTGCTCCCATTTGCTCAAAAAAAATTATTTCCAAAAACGGCTACGTCATGCTATAGCCATACTTATATAGCTTATAAAAAATTTTTGTTTTTAAATTTCGGATAACAAATGTGGTGTGCAGCATGTACACCATCCGACCATTCCCTAAAAAAAAATTCGTTTTTTGACTGGCTATATCTCCGAGGTTCGTAAATATTTTTTTTTCTTTCAATAAGTATTTTTTAGTTTAACCTACACCCTTAAGGGGGTAGACCACCCTGAACGCCTGAAAATTTGATGGTTTTTAAGAAATTCATTTTGACAAACTTATTAAAAATACAACTTTTTACTTATTAGTACATCAAAGTACATATGTTAAACTAAACAAGAAAGGAAGCTAACTTCGGCACGCCGAAGTTTATATACCCTTGCAGATAGAACTTCTATGAATAAAAAAACATACAATACAAATTATATATCTTTGTGTTAAAAAACAATGAAGTAATACCTGCTTTCATTTCATTCACCTATACATATTATATTTGCAGTTTTACATTCACTGATTTGCATTTTTCCTCCACATCAAACGATCGTTTGTATGGCACCTATATGATATAGTCGTCCGATTTTCATGAAATTTACCACAAAATTTAAGACTTAAATTTAATGCCTATACCTAAAATTTAATGAAAATCAGGTTAATGTCAGGTTTAATGAAAAAGGTTATAAATTTAATTGTATTAATTTCTCGATCGTTCCTATGGGAGCTATATGATATAGTAGTCCGATTTTCATAAAATTTTATGCAAAATTGTAGAGTATAGTAAAATGGCTATATCTCAAATTTGATCCAATTCTATTGAAAACTGAAAAAGTTAAAAAAATTTTTGTAAAAATTTTCCGATCATTCCTATGGCAGCTATATGATATAGTCGTCCGATCCGGCCCGTTCCGACATATATACGAGTGAGAGTATATAGAAGGCTAACTACAAAGTTTCATTCAGATAGCTTCAAAACTGAGAGACTAGTTTGCGTAGAAACGGACAGACGGACAGACGGACAGAAGGACAGACGGACAGACGGACAGACGGACAGACGGACATGGCTAGATCGACTCGGCTGTTGATCCTGATCAAGAATATATATACTTTATATAGTCGGAGGTGCCTCCTTCACTGCGTTGCAAACTTCTGACTGAAATTATAATACCCTGCAAGGGTATAAAAAGAGAGGAATCTAACTTCGGCACACCGAAGTTCATATACCCTTGCAGATAGAACTTCGATGGGAATCCATACAATAAAAATGATATATATTTATGTTAAAAAACAGTGAAGTAATACCTGCTTTCATTTCATTCACATATACATACTTATTATATTTGCAGTTTTACATTCACAGTTTTGTATTTTTGCTTCACATCTAACGATCGTTTGTATGGCACCTATATGATATAGTCGTCCGATTTTCATAAAATTTGACACAAAATTTCAGACTGATATAAAATGGCTATATCTCAAATTAAATGAAAATCTGCTGAAAACTGAAAACGTTAAAATTTTTAATTGTATTCATTTCTTGATCGATCCTATGGCAGCTATATGTTATAGTAGTCCGATTTTTATATAATTTTACACAAAATTGTAGATTAAAATAAAATGATTATATCTCATATTTGATGAAGATCTGGTGAAAACTGAAGAAGATATAATTTTTAATTTTATTAATTTCTTGATCGTTTCTATGGCAGCTGTATTATATGGTAGTTCGAGTTTCGTAAAATTGTACACAAAATTGTAGAATAAAAGAAAATGGCTATATCTCAAATTTAATGAAAATCTGTTGAAAACTGAAAAAGTTGTAATTTTTAATTGTATAAATTTCTCGATCGTTCCTATGGGAGCTATATGATATGGAGGTCCGATTTTCTTAAAATTTTACACAAAATTGTAAAGTAAATTTGCTATATCTTAAATTTTATGAAATTCTGTTGAAAACTGAAAATGTTATAATTTTTTTTGTAAAAATTTTCCGATCATTCCGATGGCATCTATATGATATAGTCCAGATGGACAGAATCGGATGGATCGACTCGGTTATTGATCCTGATCACGAAAATATATACTTTATATGGTCGGAGGTGCCTCCTTCACTGCGTTGCAAACTTCTGACTGAAATTATAATACCCTGCAAGGGTATAAAAATACTTATTGAATGAAAAAAAATATATTTACGAATGGCGGAGATATAGCCAGTCAAAAACGGATTTTTTGTAGAGAATGCTAGTATGGTGTACATGCTGCACACCATATTTGTCATCTAAAATTAAAAAACAAGATTATTTATAAACTGTACAAGTATGGCTATAGCATGACGTAGCCGTTTTTGGACATTTTTTTTGTGCAAATGGGAAATTTTTTTAGACGAAATTTTTGTTTTAAAGATTTATAACTTAAAAAAATATATCATATCGCAAAAATCCTGCGTCACGCCATAGAGGACATTATAAAGAAGCTGTGTAGCAGCTGTGTCGCAGTTTTTGAGAAATCATGTACACCGATTTAAAAAACGTAGTTTTGAAAAAAACGCAAAAGAAGATAAAGAAAGTACTCTAAGGTATACCGGCAGCGCTCACTTCTAATGGCTGTAGAATCCGCAAGTAATGAGATATTTTTAAGCTCGTAAGAATATCGGCATAAAAATTAAGTTTAAAAAAAAATGGATTTTTGTTAAATGTCAGGGTAGTCTACCCCCTTAAAGCTCTAACGATCTGGAAAGTGCAAAAAACGCCTCCCTTTCATGCGGAAAATTCTCACTCACTTTTATTTTTGCGTGAGCGGTACCCTCAGTAGGTTAATTCATGATGCCGCCGTCGCTGCTTGGCTCATGATAAAATTTATCACGAGAGGTATGGAAAGGAATCGAAATTTTTCTGAATATATTTATATAGGGGATATTATAAATCCCGCAAACTATTTCTTACTTTTTTTTTAATTTGTTAATTAAATGAATTTTCTTAAAAATAGTTTTTTCTGTTAAAGATTGATCACATTAACGTAAACCAAATTCAAGTAAATCAATAACTGTGGTTTTTCAAATTTAAACTATTGTTAGGGCTTTTCAGTTCTTAAAACATTTTGGACAAAAAATATTAATTATAATTTTTATTCATATATTTAAATAAAAAAGTTTTTTATTCAATAAAATGGTAGACAAACTCTTGAAAATATAGGACTAAGTTCATTTTAATGGGATACAAATTTCTAAATCTTTTCAGATTTTTGTTTAGAAGAATTCTACGTAGTTTCAAAATAAAAACTTGCGGGGAATTCCTTGTTTTCTTATCAGCGCACTTTGAGTTAAAAAAATATCCCGAAAGGGAAATACCTCCGCGAGCGAAGAGCACAGAATTCTACATTAAACGGAACAGCATTCGATATAGGTACCAGAATGTCGCACTTGCCACCTTGCTGAACTGGGGATAGTTTTCTATCCTTAATCGCTCACCACAAGCAAAGAAGTACAGTGGTAAGTCTTAAGAATGACTTCTGATATTGTATGCGAAAACCAGCAAAAAGGCCATT